ATATGGGTTAATTAGTAAAACTTGTATCACTAAATCATTATTATCTAAATAAGAAAAAAATCTTACGATCTAATATTTTCTTCAAGTGTAAAGTGTTGATAAGTCATAGAAATCGAATCAATCAATGAAATACTGATTATCTACACAGGCATGTCTCTTAGATTTATTTACATTCTCTAGAACATAAATATATAACAACTACCGTGGCGACAAAGTGGGGGATCAATTTACATATTGACTGTAATATGAAATTGATCCCCTACTTTATATACACACTATAATTTCTTGTTTGTTTATCAATTTCTGATTAGTTATGAATCAAACACTTTCCCCGCAGCTATGGGTTAATTAGTAAGACTAGTATCAGTACACCGTTATTATCTTAAATAAATCTTACAATCTAAAAATACGTTCTGACTTTAAATAACCTGTAATAACTCTGGAATATAAATATATAGAAACTGCCGTGGCAACAAAGTAAGGATCAGTTTATATATTGATTGTAATATAGAATTGAACCCCCACTTTATATTCACACTATAATTTCTTATTTGTATATCAAATTTTGATTAGGTATGAATCAACCTCTTCTCCCGCAGATATCCGTTAATAAGTAAGGAATTGTATCTTTCTTTTTACGCACCGTGTTCCTTTTAGGATGTACAGGCGGTCATGGCTCTCCACTGCCCCCTATCACTTGTAGCTCTCAATAAGTTCCTTTCCTCTGCTTCCTCCCGAAGACCACGTTCTGTCATCCACCTGCTCAAGCGTGTCAGGTATGTCACGGGCTGCTTTCCCTTGTCCCTCTTACCCTCTATTAGACACGTGAGTATCAGATTCTCCAGGCCCTCCTTTCTCATTACGTCCAAGACACTTCAGCTGCCTCTTCCGATATTAAGTATAAGCCTCCTCCTTGTTTTTATCCTTTCCAAGACTTCATCGTTGCTCACACGCTAGGTCCATAATATCCTCAACATCCTTCTGTAGAACCACATCTTCGTCGCCTCGAGTCTTTTATCCATTTTTGAGGAGACCGTCCAACATTTACTGCCGTAAAGGAGGACAGATATCACGTAACAGCTCAGTACTCTTTCCCTTGTTACCAAAGAAATCCCCCCTGTCTCGCAATCACTAAACAGTTATTATCTAAATAAATCATTGTTACAATCTAAAAATATTTTCTTGCTTTAAATAAAGGGTTGAAAAGCCGTAAAAAAGGAGTCAATCAAGCAATCAATTCTACAACACAAATGTCAATGTCTTCCTCTACAATAAATGACATAAAATTATTTACCAAGAATAAAAGAAAAATATCTCGGTACACTGATGTAAAAAAGCTCCATGCTTCACAGACAATATTCGAATAAAAATTTATATAGACAAATGAATAACGTTAGTAACACGCAGGTGAAGACTGATGACGACGAATGGAGTCAACATACCGTATAACAAAGCTCGAGAGAGCATTAAGAGCGCACACGGCGCGGCTGCAAATACATCGGACTCGAATGTGACTCAATAAAGCAGAGAAGGAATAAATTAAAATAAGAAAAGTATACTTTTAAAGGATAAGGCAAATGCTTAAAACGAGACTAAGCAGAATCAACCTGATAAAAGGAATGAACACTTGGTTAGTAGCAACACGCAAAGGATATTCTATATGATTGTACAAAAGAAGAACTCAAATCAACAGATCGAAAGAATAGCAAACTTATAACCATATAGAAATCTTTATATTACGTTCAGTAAATGAAGAAAAGTTCAATTGACTCCTCCATTAAATCGACACAAGAGTTTCACTTGGAAACGGTCATCACAGCCAGATATTTGATAAGTTCTGTAAACCTGAAAGAACACGTTAAATTCTCGTAGTTTTTCGTATTTCTTCAGTTTTTATTATTATTATTATATGTGTATATTATGTTTCCTGATTTGTAACCTGTAGAGCCGGGTCCAAACTATGGTCCTTAGGCTCTAGAGGAGAATTATCATTTAATTGATAACACTTTTCTTGGTGTATAAGATGCTCCTAGTAGGGCGATCTGGGCAACTTGTATGTTGATGTTACCTGGGACCCTGTTAGTAAAATTTGTCCACTCCTTTTCTTACAAGACCCAGTGCTCCGATTACTATTGGTACAGTCTCAGTCTTCATTCTGCACATTTTGTTCCATCTTCAGGTCCTTTTATTTGGACATTTTCTTAATAATTTTCATAGTGGTGTTTCTCTCAGTTAGTAATGCCATGTCAATATGCATACACTTCCTGAATTTATTATTATTATTATTATTTCCTTTGATTTCAGTTATCAGTTATCTACTGTGTCCTCAAGGACACATGGCACAGTGGATAAAGCCTTTAGTTAGATCCAGTGACAGGATCCAAAGAGTGTGAGTTCAATACCTGGTTAAGGCGGTGGAGAACTTGGAGAGAGGAATTAACAGGAGATAACTGACATCCATTAGACATGGCACGTGGAACTAGAACTGTCTACCCCAGCGAGCGAAATAAAGGGTTCAGTTCGACATTCCCACCACTTGAAGAAGGTTGGAGCGCACAACGGCCGAAACGTTGTGATAAATATGGCAACAAGAGTATTTATTTCTAAAACGACGAGTGTTTCATAAGGCAAAACGGTTTAATTCCAAAATGTTTAATGTTTCCAAATATTGAATTGAGTCATAATTTACGGTTTTGTTTATTAATGTTATCCTTGAAAAAATAAAATCCTCTAAGTGTTGATTTCTATGTTCACTTATATATATATATATATATATATATATAATTTTAAGGTGTGCTACATTTAGGTGACAAAATGCTCAACATCAGAGATAGAGCGTATGTAAATATAAATATAAAAGTTAACACTGAAGTCAACACTCAGAGGCGACAGGCTGTTTTATTCTGGATGCAATCGTCAGGACTGATGATTGCGTCAAGCATGACACAGCTTGTCAAGCCTGTGAGTGTTGACTTCTTTTGTTCACTTATATATATATATATATATATATATATATATATATATATATATATTATTTGTGTGTGTGTGTGTGTGTGTGTGTGTGAGACGTTGCTTCACACTTGGCTAAGTCTGGTAACTATGTGATTTCGTTTTCTGACTGAGAAGAGAATCGTCTCATCAATCTTCTGCCAACATTTTTATTAGACATATTTGACTTCCACGCGGATGATCAGTATCTCTTTTTTATTTAATGAATCTGTTTTGATAATCTTCCCAAACAAAAGCCATTGTCTCAGTCCAAAAGACATTAACCTGATATGGTACGCTGCGCCAACAGAACCTTCTTTCGTTTACTCTCTTTCGACATATACTGACTGAACCATTTTCCCGCGATGTGCTTTTGTAACCTGAACCATTTTCAGTCTTCCATAGAAATTGCAGCCAAAAATTAGTCAGGTTTGTCATGAGAAAATTCTCTTTATTTTTTTTTTCACAGAAATGGTCTTTTTATTGTTAATCACTACAATAAATTTCTTTTATGATAAATATCAATGGCAGTCATTGAGAAACGCCATTTTGTTCAGTAAGTTTTTAGAAACATATTTTTTTTCCATCGGTATGTCCATCGTTCTCTGACACTGGGGAAGATGTGTGGAAAATACACAATTATCTCAGCCACGAAGCAGACCTAAGAAAGCATATTTTTTCCTGGAGGATTTTTAAAATTTTTACCTCCAATTAAATGTTTAAGTTATCAATTCAGCTTGTAATTTTTCTAACAAGTGCACGTCTACTTAGCCTATTGTTTCATAGTCTAAAGAGGAGCGAGAATTCATTCAACGCATAACACATAGCATTGCAATAATTGAACTAAGTATTCAAATTGCATCCGCATTATTTTAGCTTAGATCCGGATATTATGTTAGTTGGGATCTTTTTAGACTCCCTCATATGGATGCCGCATCGTAGTATTAACACATAATAGCAGAAAATATCAAACAAAGTTTTTAATCATTTTGTTTTAACCTAGCGAATGTTACTGAAAAGAATAATCAAATGTGGGTAATGAACGATAATACTTAGGATAATACCTATAAGATTCGACGGCGTAGAAGAAGTAGTCAACTGCTAGAAGTGAGTCAAGTGAATTCCACAACGAATCTCCAACTGCAGGATATCTACCAACCTCCCCACTCGGTCAGATGTTTCAAAAGGCCGAATATAATGTTGGGTATAAGCTAAAACTTCACCGTAAATCCCATATAAAACGAGGTCGGGTAGCTGTTTCCAGAGACGAGCTTTTGCCCTTCGACATAGCCTCTTCTGGGGATCCTCTTTGTCCTGAGGCAGAGAGTTTGACCAGTACAGTTGGAGACGAATCTCCAACTGCAGACCAACATACAGTATTTACTACTTTATTTATGTGAATGGGGACATACCCAATATCGTCCGTAGGTATGATACAACACATTTCATTCTAGGTAAGAAAAAAAAAAAAAAAACATTGGCTACAATAGTAAAGACAACAAAAGAACATAGAAAACCATATTTAAAATTTAATTGGAAAATTACAATCCAAAATTTCTTTTATCAAATAATAGTTTTTAATAGTTTTTTTTTTAACCATATAGGTTTTTTAACCATATAGGTTTTTAATAGTTTTTTAACCATATAGGTTTTTAATAGTTTTTTAATCATATAGGTTTTAATAGTTTTTTAACCATATAGTTTTTTAATAGTTTTTTAATCATATAGGTTTTTAATAGTTTTTTAACCATATAGGTTTTTAATAGTTTTTTAATCATATAGGTTTTTAATAGTTTTTTAACCATATAGGTATTATGAAAAAAATTAACAGAGAATGACACATAGTTCAATCCTCAAAGTAAATGTCCGGTGTATTAACCATAAGGTGGATTTAAGTAAAAATGGCTCAAGCGAGATGAGAGAAAGAATGACATATGTGGCAAGAGAGTAAAAATGTCACATGTGGGATGAGAGAAAGAATGACATATGTGGCAAGAGAGTAAAAATGTCACATGTGGGATGAGAGAAAGAATGACATATGTGGCAAGAGAGTAAAAATGTCACATGTGGGATGAGAGAAAGAATGACATATGTGGCAAGAGAGTAAAAATGTCATATGTGGGATGAGAGAAAGAATGACATATGTGGCAAGAGAGTAAAAATGTCACATGTGGGATTAGAGAAAGAATGTACCATGTGCATGGAGGACGCTGATACAATTCAATGTCCAATAAACGAAAGTGAGCAAATGATATTCTTGAAAATTTCTTTCGAAATGTAAATTAGCAATTAAGTTATTTTACTTTTGAATTAATTTGTCTTATTATATTTTAAATATAATGAGGCTATGAATTTAACGGTTTTCTTTTCATTTTTAAACATTTTTATAGTCACAGAGTTTGGTTTGGGAAAGTAGTAATTCTATCAGGAATATATATATATATATATATATATATATATATATATATATATATATATATATCAGAGTCTGTCTATATTTCTGAGATGAGGTATTATGTACAGTATTTAGGTTTATAATACTCAGAAGTTCATACCCAGATGTCCTCAAGGACACATGGCACAGTGGTTAGATCCAGTGACAGACCCAAAGAGGGTGAGTTCAATACCTGGTTAAGGCAGTGGAGAACTTTCAGAAGGGAAAATTAGCAGGAGATAACTGATAACTGACATCCATCAAACATGGCACGTGGAACTAGAACAGTCTACCCCAGTGATCGAAATAAAGGGTTCAGTTCGAAATTTCAACCACCTGAAGAAGGCCGGAGCGTACAACGGCCGAAACGTTGTGACAAATATGGCGACAAAGATGAGGACAATAGTCCGACTAATGTAAATACTATATATATATATATATATATATATATATATATATATATATATATATATATTGTGTATTCTAGAGATGTGAAGATAAAAAAACAAAACAAAATCCGAACAGAAACTAATATTTTTGTTTATATTTTCTTATAAATGGCTGATCTGCTCGATTTCTCGATTCGAGGTCTTTATGTTAACGGGTTTTAACTTCTCATCTTAATTTTCTATTAACTCAATTATGAAAAGCAGCTGACCATCGAATGGCGGTCTGTCGGATTCATTTTACATTAAACATTTCATGTCCAATTCAATGAGAACGGAAAAAGAAATGTATAACTGCATGCGTATTGCAGCCCGAATCACGGATCTCGTGTTCCTTGTAAAAATATAAATTTTATGGAAATGTATCTCCCCAAATTCGACTAGCGCATATTCCGTTTCACTAATATTTTCGATAAGTGATTGGCCTTAACAAATGAATTATGACTTGCGCAGTGAGAGAGGGTGACGAACGGATAATTATATTGCTAAAATGGGCTATCATTTCTGCTTGACTAATGTACAGCTGTTTATTCTTTTTTCTTTTATTTGTTTCTAAAAAAAGTGCCTAATCATGATTCATCCGTCGTCATGCACGTTAATCGAGAAAATTCACTCGGATTAAATTAGTTATATGACTTGACACTGTTTTGTCCAGGCGTATAACACATCATATTAGATCATCTTTTTAGACATCCGAAAATTTTCCAGGTCACGAGCACGTTACACTCGTTTTGTTAAAATTATCGATAAAACCAGTCATAGAAATAATAAAGAGTGTGAACTCATCAGCTTGATTCTCTGTCCGTAACAATGGACTTACCCGTCCTGGGATAAACGTTATGAAACTTGATCCACGTAAGATTGAGAGATAACTCGACGTCACTCAAAACGAGCAACTGTCGGCAGGATATGCAAATAAATAAATAATCGAACCTATCTACTCCTATTGAGGGACAATAAATAATTAAATAGTAAGTAAAATTTGAGAGTTTAGGCGGAGATGTTAGAAGTATAGAGTTGAAATCGACTTTATAAGGAATAAGGGTCTCTCCATATATCGTCAGCCATGACTAATTTTTTTGTTTCTCCACGTATTTCTCCAGTCTTATTTTAAGGAGGCGACCTGTTTCTCCTTTATATGGCAACAAAGATGGGGACAACGGTCCGAACAATGTAAATAATTACATTACCTCATCTTAGAAATATAAACAGATAAATTTTGGAAAGTTGTATATTTATCAGCCTCTAACTATATGAATACATTTTTTTGTTAATAGTATTGTATTCTATTGGACGTAATCAGTCTTTATCTCTTTTATTTTTTAATAAAAAAAAATGATGCCGATAAGGTAGTTTAATTATCCGCCGTTTTTAATTGATAGGGGGCAACGAAACTTACATTAAGTAAAAACTTAATTACATAGCCACAGTTACCTAATTATTAACTTTAACGGAAATTATGTACTAAAAGATCACGTGATCGATTAAATGGATAAATTCCTTCATATCTACACGCAGTTTACTATCATATAGGTTTTATTAATTCCCTGTTAGCCTGGAAGGTATCTTTGTTCGGCTACCTTCCTAGAAATAGTATCTCGATAAAAGCCTTGTGTGTTTTGAACAAGCGAATAGGAGAAAGCAGTTTCACCTATCGCCCAGTTCACACTCTTTCCACGTTTGTTCAACAGAAGTAGAGTATTATCTCGTTTTCTGTTAAATATATGATTTCTGTTCCTATCTTCCGAAGTCTTAATGAAAGTAACTATCGTAATGTTTAAAAAGTTACTTTCGTAAACATTGGAAAGCAACTATCGTAACTTTTAGACAGTAACTGTCGTGACCTTTACAAAGTAACTGTCGTAACATTTACAAAGTAACGGTCGTAACCTTTGTAAAGTAACTGTCGTAACGTTTAGAAAGCAACTGTCGCAAATCATAAAAAGAAACTGTCGTAACTTTTAAAAAGTAACTCGTCGTAACCTTTAGAATGTAACTGCCGTAATTTTTAGGAAGTGACTGTCTTAACTTTTAGAAAGTAACTATCATAACCTTTAGAAAGTAAGTGTCGTGACCTTTAGAAGGTAAATGTCGTAACCCGTAGAAAGTAACAAATGTAACTTTTAGAGAGTAAATGCCGTAACCTTTGGAAATAACTATTGTAAATTTAGAAAAAATAACTGTCGTAACGTTCAGAAAGTAAGTGTCGTAACACTTAGAAAGTAACTGTCATAACTTTTAGAAAGCACATGTCTTAAATTTTCGGATGTAACATTCGTAACTTTTAGAAAGTAACTGTCATAACATTTTATTTATATGACTTGGCTGCATCTCTTCTGTTTGAGAGTACTGGGTTGATAGTTTTCTGATTGCTGCATACTAAATTCGTTGGTAGCGCTTAGTAAGGATGCTCTCGTAAACAGTCAAATAATATAAGGGATTTTGCAGTGACATGTTGCGCATGAATAGGTGTCACTGCAAGTATTAGTGTGGCCAGTACTTTCTTAAAATATCAGAAAATAGTAGTAAGCCTAGAGAAACTATCGGCCGAAACGAAATGATCGAAGTAACAAAGATTAATAGAGGAATTCGAATAATTCATTTAAAAATTAAAATGCCTCTTAAAACTTCATACGGCACAAGAAAGGTTGAAGAACGCCTCGGCTGAAACGTAATGATCAGTAGAACAGACATGAAGTAACGATTCAGAATAGTTTATTGCTAATATTTAAATATACTTCAGAGAACAACACGCCTTACAAAAAGCTGCATTCGTCTCACGGAAGCCTTTCAAGTGCTTCCCCAAAAGAGACCTTTCTATCGGAAACAAATTAATTCAAAGCTTCTCGGAACTCGTGTTTGTCATCTTGCGTAACGTAGCGTATATAGGGAATTGAAATTGGCCCTCTGTGTGTATACGCATGCGCGAGTGCTATTTGGAACAATTGGACGGTTCTTGAATAAACCTGGCGGGGAGGTTTCACAAGCGAGTGCATAGAGGAGATTAGATTCCAGGTTTATGATTTATTTGTTATTTTAAGCAGATGGGATCTGTTTGCCTTTGCTCTGAACAAATCAACCCGCTTTTCAAAATAAATATAGAAATATGAAAGTTAAGATAATACATATTGTGTTTAAGGCGAGGCACAAAAGCGGCTGGATTGAGGCTATACAATACGTCAAAATACATCCAATTACAAAGAGAGCGTGGAACGGTGATGAAGAGCCTGGAAGCAAGTCATACATCAAGAGCCAATCAGAAAGGAAACAATACTCTCATGGCTTACAGCTTTGACCATCGTTTAAACAACTAGCCTGGAGTGAGGTGTTGGATACGATTCAAAATAGGCGTAAATCTTTCTTTATTTTTTCTTTTTCTTTTTTTTGGAAAACTCCCATCTAAAACGTGATAATCATTTTTTTAAAATTTTTATCCCCTATCATTTCCTAATTTTCCAATGTCCGGAAATAAATCTTTCTATTTAAAAACAAAAATCAGCAACATTGGGAACATTTATAATTTTGAGTCACAATTTCTGTTTTTTTTTTTTTTTTTTTTTTTTTTTAGGAGAGCAAGCCTTCTTATATTCATTTACACGCGAATAATTCTGGGAAAGCTATGAATCGACCTATTCTCCCTCAGCTATGGGTTACTCAGTAAGACGTTTATCGCTAAACCATTTTAAAAAGTTCTTACAATCTAAAAATATTTTATTTTTTTAAATCACCTGCAAACGGTGGATAAACCGTAGGAAAGGAATCTATCAATGTATTTTTAAAGGGTATTTCATTAAGACGGATCAAATCTGTTATTGGAGAAAATTTATTTATTTATCTACTGGATCATGTTATTTAAGTCATGTCAATTATGAGTGAAAAATAATATTGCCGAAATGTCCACCAAGGCTTCGGCGGCACACCTCCACTTGATGGTCAACATTTTTGATGACGTCTCTGCATAGTTGCTCCTCGATCTCACCAATATGCCTTATTATCACATCCTTCGCTGTTGAATTGTTGTTGGCTTGTTGGCATAGATCTTGACTTTAGAGACCCTAAAAGAAGAAATTGAAAGTCTTCAAGTTGCACGATTGTGGAGGCCAATTCACTTCGCTGTTTCGAGAGATGATTCGACCTGGGAACTTCTCATTGCATTTCTGTTTGAACGTCCATTTTCGTAATAGGCTTCGATAACTTTAACACGTTTTTTTGATTGTTTCCATGGTTGAAATTGTC